AGAAAAATAGCTGGATAGAAAGTCTTTGTGTGGGTGCAACTCACATTTGCATGCACATGTAATCCATCGGGTTATTTGTCAGTGTATCTTTCAATACCCTGTCTGTCTTACTGTTTGTGGATGTGGGTCATTGATGCTTTGGTTTCTCTCATTGTGATTGGCTGGGCTGAGTGCAGGCAGTGAAAGTGGCAGGAGTTCTCCTTATTATAGTCAGCCAGAGCCCAGGTGTGCTACACCCACCAACACCTTCCAAGCCCCCAAGCATTTCCATGTGCCAGGTAGGCCGTTACTGTGTATGCAGCCCTGACCCTAACCTGTTAACTAACCAAAACTTCACCACGTCAGACCAAAACTAATCCACAGTTCACTGATGGACCTCGTTTGTTATTACTATATATCAGCTATAGCAGCTGTTCTCCTGCATTCATGCACACAGGTTTTAATTGGATTAAAATAATAATTTGATATTTTGTTGTCATGGCAAAAAAGTACGCTGTCTCAAGTCTAAGGTTTTACATATGAGGACATAATAAAAAATAAGGTGGTCCTGAGCAGGTGTTAGAATGAGGTAAATACAACCTCAGATGGACAACAAGCAACTAACTAACAACAGCTAAGCCAAAATGTAGAAGCTGTGTGTGAAAGAGAAAATACGGTCCATGATTCAGTCGCTTGTAGAATCACCGTTAGTAAATTGAAGTAAACATTTTCTATACAACATTATTCATCTCTCACATCATTGTAGAGGAATTTCTGCTCACTCTGCTTGACAGCGTTGCCTCAGTTCATTGAAGTTTGTGGGCATTCGTTCATGGACAGCTCTTTGAAAGTCCCACCACAGCATTTTATTCAGGTTGAGGTCTGGACTTTGTCTTGGCCAAAGCAACCTAGATTCTTTTCTTTTTCAACCATCCTCTCATATATTTTCTGCTGTGCTCGTTTATTGTCCTGGTGCATGACCAAATTTCTCTCAAGCTTTAGCTGTCAGAGGAGTTCAAGGTTCCCAGGTCCAGTGGCTGCAAAACAAACCCAAATCATCACCCCTCTACCACTGTGCTTGACAGTTGGTATGCTGTGTTTGATTTTTACCAAACATGGTGCATTATGTGCACTATAGCCAAATACCCACAGTTTAGTCTCATCTGTCCAAAAGCCATTGTTCCAAAGGTATTGAGGGTTTTCCAGATTCACCTTTGCAAACCTGAGCCATGGTATAATATTAATTTTTAGAAATAATCAGCTTTTTCCTGGCACTTCTGTTATCTTTTTTGCCATTGTGTTAATACATCTGAATGCTCTAGACCGTGGGTGTCAAACATAAGGCCTGGGTCCAGAATCGGCCCAGGAAAGACTCCAATCCGGTCCACTGGACGGCTTTGAATCTCCTCCTTTGTGAAGGAGGGGATTGCTTTTGGACTTTTAACTGTATTTTCATAACTTTTAAAGTTTTTCCTCTCAATAAATATCTCCTACATTTCCATTAGTACTACAACAAGTAGTTAAGTAATTGATAATAAAACACAGAAAATGTACTGTTTTTTTCCACTATCTACTATCAAAATTGAGCTACAAGACCTTTTCTGTAATTTTATATATTTATTGATTTGTGGTGACAGATTTCAGGGGATCCATGGGTGAGGGGTCGGGTGGGCGACATCGACACCCAAGTTTGTGAATATGATAAGTGACATAGGAGTTTCAGATAGGTGTATAGCTGTATCTAGGAGGCTGAGGGGGTAGCACTATTTTTGTTTTTGTTAATGTTCTTTTTTTTTATTTTTTATAATGTCGTGATAGTAAAAACCTTAAAATTCAGGGTTTACTTTCTTTTTACCATGACTGTAACTAAAGAGTAAATTTGAATATTGAGTAATTATTGTGATGGAAGAACAGTCTTCTTGCTGGTTCCAATTTATCTACCCCCCCTAAAAATGAGTCACAAAAAAGTAATTTGAGATATTAATTACTAATGAGCACGATCCATCCATCATCATCTAGAAAGAGGAACAAAAGTTTTTCTGTAATTCATTCATTTTCATCTTTTTTTATTTTCTTTTATCCTTTTGCCTTGTCCTTATTTCATTGATGTTTTAGCAACCATACAATGTATTAATCCTCCTCTCTCATTGACCAATGGGCACTCTTTGTCTATTTTGTCTTTCTCATTTGCAGCTTTTGTGTAACATACGAGTACTTTAGTACTGTCATCTTGCAACAAATATCGGTTAATTTTATTTTAAGAGCCCATCAACCCTCCACTTTAACAACTTAACGCCTCTCTCCTCTCTGAATGCTTCACTCTGTCTTTGCTCCCTTCACTATAAAAGGCCTCTTCTTCTCAATATGAGCTGCATATTTGATTTCCCTCCATCATTCCCTCTTCCTGCCCCCACTCCATTTCTCAATTTGTGTTTCCTCATGCTTTTTTTCCTCTCGCCAGCCCTGAAACAGCATTTCCTGCTTACTTTCAACAGAGTACGAAATGTATCTGCTGGATGCTTTTATTCAAAGTGTCTCAGAGTGTCATGTGCATACACATTTAGTGCATACAAATAAGGTTGCAAACTTGGTTGCATTTGTGGCACACAGTGTGAATGGAAATGTTTTCTGTTTTTTTCATTATTTATTGTTGTGTTAAAGGCTAAAAGGCATTTATAGTTTACTGTGGCATGTTGTTGTGCCGCTTTCCTGTTCTTGTCTCTTCTTCGTTTTTTCTTTTTAATTTGGATCAACTTTAATTGCTCTCCACCCTCATCTTTATTCTTGTGCCGCCTGCTTTTCTTTCCTGTATTAAGCCTGGGAAGCTGTATTAATCAACCTCGGCATGTTAGTCAGGTTGTCTGGATGCAAGGCAGCACCTCTGCAGTACCAGTTTATCACCTGTTCTGTCAGCTTCTGTCGTGCTTAAGACTGTAAATGTATACAACTAATTCGGTGGGGGAGGTTAAACAAGGAAAGCCAGAATATTTAACTCCTCCGTTCTCCTCTGTGCACTGCATACTGGGATTTTGTACGGGAAGGTGATTGGTATAGTTTTACCTTTATATACAGTTTGCATGATATCTTTAAAGAAATGTGAGGTTAATTTAATTAATTATCTCATTAATTGTTGGTGTAAAGCTATGCATTGAGGTACTGGTGTTCTCCCCAGAAATGGTGTCCCTCTCTGGGGAAAAGCAAGTGATGCTAACAACACAAATAGTGCAACTAATGGAAAAAAAATTGAAGGAGGAAGTGTCGCTGTGGCAGGTGATGCAGCAGGTTCAGCTTCAGTTGTATGAGATTAAAGATGAAAAAATGGTGGATGATGGTTGACATAATGTGGAAATACATTTTTCCCCTCCCTGCATCTGAGCAAATTCTAGACTTCTGTAAAAAAAAAAAATTACTGATGACTATAGTTCTGATAATCAGCATTTCTGTCAAGGCAAACGTATCCGACCTACCTTCGTTTCACCTTTGTCAAGTGTGGTGAAGGAAAATGACCTCAGTGTTGTGAGAAGAAAATTTCATTGATTTGGAGGTCTAGTCAGTAGTTTTGAGATTGGGTTTGTGTTATAAAAGCATATGTTTTAGGTTTACTTCCTGTATGTTCTCACCTGTACCTCGTTCCCCACCATCAGTGTTCACAACATATGGTATATTCCTGTTCCCTTTCTTCCTGTGTGCACCTTCTTTGGTCTCCTGTTTTCCTTTGCTTACGTGTTTTATTTTGGATTTCTGTTAATGCCACATTATGGATTTTTAACATTTTGGACTTTGATTTTACCCTGAATCAAAATCTTGCTTTGTAATTCAAGTGTGCCATTCACAGCTCTGCACTCAATATTGCACATTAGGGCCATGATGTCACCCTAATGATTTTTCAGATCACCATACAGCTACAGAAGACACCCTCAGCACCAACTGTGGCAAATTAACATTCAGAAGCAGACCCCTCCTGTCAGTCTTTCTGAAGTCAGTGGAGATTAAGAAAAGATCACTAATATCATTATTTCAACATTGGGAGTTGGTAAGAAACACAACATCGTCATCAGTAATAAGAATTGCAAAGAGCTAGGAGACAGGAAAGAAATCTCACATGAAAGGCAAAGAGGTTCTTGATTAGAATCTTTGCTAATGATATAGATCAGAGATGTCAGATTCATTTTACATCATGGGCCACATACAACCCATTTTAAGTGGGCAAGACTATAGAAACTTTCACCAAGTGCTTGGTCAAAGCAAGCACTTGTTTGATTGTTGGGGTTTTTTCTGTATTATTGTAGACTCTTTACCTTACAATACAACGTGCCTTGAGGCGACTCTTCTTGTGATTTGGCACTATTTAAGTAAAATAGAACTGAATTGAATGGATGCCAGTCATGTAGATGGAGGGATTACCTACACTGAAGTTGAACTTTCCTTTGAGAAGACTTTTTTTACTACCATTCAGCAGCTCAGTTGTGACTCCCTGAAGAGCCCTATAGGCAACAAAAAAAAAAAGGAGAGAGAGATGTTAGGGTTTGCTAAGAAATCAGAGACCAGCTTCACTTCACTGTACAAACTATAAAAATAGCTGAATCTTTTAAATACATTTAAGGATGGTCTGGAAGCCATTATTCATTATATTCAGACTTTCAATAACTCGCACTATTGGACAATTTAGGCCTTTGTGTCTAGAGGAAGAAAAAGCAGATCATCTTTGTTGCAGATTCTATTTCATGGGATAAGCTGTTGTATTCAAATACTGCTATATCAGTATAGTACTGCTACGTCACTGTACAAAGAGGCATTAGGCAGGGTTGGCCCCTATGTGGTCAGCCATATGCTGTTGCCTTTTAAATCAGCTTAGATGGGGTCTCACAGGTTTAACCTTTGCTGCAGTTTCACATACATGAACTAATGTGCCTGCTTATGCTGATGATGCAGCTGTGTTGATTACTAGTCATAACAATTCTGCACATGATCGAGAAAAATCATTGCCCAAACCATCTAGCAACAGTTTGACTATAGGATGAGGTATTTGGTTGTGAATTATTTTGTTGCCACTTGACTGTTGTTGAACTTTCAAGTACACTTTTAAAGGAAATACAAATAGGACTGGCTAACTTTTTCTTGGGAGGATATCACTGGCTCAGATGTGCATTTCTGTTGTCACCTTTGTGTGAAGGTGGGCAGAGTCCAGTGGTTGCTTTTCTCTGAATAGAGTTCATGTGGATGATTGTATCGATTTTGGAGTGATAGAAATGTCCTCTGCAGAGTAACTTGTGGATCACTTGATCTCACTTTCTGAACATATTTATGTGTTGTAGCCACACTATGTACAGGTTGGGGTTGTAAATATGTACAGTAGCTTTCCTTTGTGGGATCAATAAAGTATCTGTCTAATTGTACAAAGAAATTGGTTTATTAAAGAATTAGTTAACGGTCAAAGTTCTCCTCTTCTCTGAATGTTTATTTTGCTTTTTCTCACCAACTGACTCTCTTTTGTTCTCAGCTTCTGAAGAAACTAACATCTATAGAAAACCACCCATCTACAAGAGACAAGGTTGGTTAATTGGTCAAATTTTTGTGATTTCAAAACCTTTTTTGGGGCTGTGTATCTGTCCGGTTAGTTGATTCTTGTGTTCATTGTAGCATAGTCTTAGTGTGATAGTTCTGTGTGTCTGACTTAAAGAACCAGTTACAGAAAAGATCTGAGTTAAAGCTGCAGTATAGATTTGTGGACACACTTCTTTGTTGTCTGTAATCTGCTACCTCTGATTAGATTCAGTCTTCTTAGGATTTTCTCAACATGGAAACACTCAGAATAAATGAAAGAATTTCTTCTGGACTCTTACACAGCCTTAAAGTAGCTGCAGTTTGACCCATCCCGTTCAGTTAAAAAGCTTATGGTGTGAATTAACTCTAATTTTGTTCCCCAATTTTTCAGCTCTTGTCAGTTGTCCACTAGATAAGTTTCACCTTCTGAAACTAGAAAGGTTGATGGCCTTTGGGTACTGATCACTTGTCCCTGTTAAGTAGGCTTTGGTTGGAATGGGGTAAACGGTCTATGAAAAGCCTAAGAAATACATGTTTAAAATGCAATTGCATAATGAAGTGAAAAATGATAAAACTACAAGAAATGAACCCAACATAAAGCAAGACGGCAGACACAAAGCAAAGTACCTCTTGGGGTAAACCGACAAAGGGGACAATACGGGACTACACACACACACACACACACACACACACACACACACACACACAGAGGGGTGACTGGAGGTGAAGCACAGGTGGGAACAAGAAACAGGTGAAAGCAGATAGTCACAGCAGAGAAAAAGACCATGAAATAAAATTAGAGGTGTGGTTGTGCAGTTAATGTTGCTTAGGAAGGCCATAATAACAAATAATAACAAATCAAATTCTTTTTGAGTCATTTCAATCACTAATTTCACTTATATGAACTATATCAAAGTGTGTTTAAGATATACATGAGTCATGTCTGTGGTTGTATTGCCACCCTTTAGATTGATCATCATCATATGATATACATTTTTACTCGGGGCTAGCTGGGAAAGACTCCAGCCTAAGTTGTTGATGGAGGGAATTTTACTTTGGTCACAGAAAATTTCAACAGTAGGTAGGATAAGAGTTACTGCATCATTGGTTAGGCAGGAAAAAAATAATAAAATAAGATTCATTTAATTTTATAGAATTTCAGCCTTTTTTACTAGTTCTTCTTGTAATTTAGTAATTTAGTCCGGCTATGGGACATTGTAGTTTTAACATGGTACACCATTGACAAATATGTGCATTCAGATTCTCTGAGTAAAAAGCTTTCCTTTTCCTGTTTCCTTATAAGTTCTTCTGGACACCTTTCCTTGATGTTTTCCATCAAAATCAGGTAAAAGGAAGGAGGAGTCAATTTTAGGACTACTTGATTATTATCCATAAAAAGAGACATGAGAAACTAACCTTCACTTCATATCAAAAAGAAGTGACCAAGAGACAAATAATACAGAGTAAAGATTAAATATGATGCCAGAGGCAGAAGAACAGATGAGGCTGGAGAAACTAAAAATATTAAAAACAGTAAAAATAGCCAATCTGTTACACCACCACTGCAGCCATTGTCTGTGCTTCTCAGTTTTGCTGTCATGTATCTGTTGGAGGAGGACTCATATGGAGACTCTTAAGGCAGCAGCATAAATTGAAAACACACCTTTACTTAAATAGGTTGAAAAGTACAAACTATAAATATTAAGGACTATACAGGACTCCAACAATTTAGGCACAGAAGACACAATAACAGACACTGTACAGGGACTGACAGAAAGATGCCATTATATATACACAAGGGGGGGGATTAGCTGAAGTGAACACAGCTGAGGGAAATGAGACACAGGTGAACATAATCTACAGTGGCTCGTAAAAGTATTCGGCCCCCTTGAACTTTTCCACATTTTGTCACATTACAGCCACAAACATGAATCAATTTTATTGGAATTCCACGTGAAAGACCAACACAAAGTGGTGCACACGTGAGAAGTGGAACGAAAATCATACATGATTCCAAACATTTTTTACAAATAAATAACTGCAAATTGGGGTGTGCGTAATTATTCAGCCCCCTTTGGTCTGAGTGCAGTCAGTTGTCCATAGACATTGCCTGATGAGTGCTAATGACTAAATAGAGTGCACCTGTGTGTGATCTAATGTCAGTACAAATACAGCTGCTCTGTGACGGCCCCAGAGGTTGTCTAAGAGAATATTGGGAGCAACAACACCATGAAGTCCAAAGAACACACCAGACAGGTCAGGGATAAAGTTATTGAGAAATTCAAAGCAGGCTTAGGCTACAAAAAGATTTCCCAAGCCTTGAACATCCCACAGAGCACTGTTCAAGCGATCATTCAGAAATGGAAGGAGTATGGTATGGCAGTATGTATGTACGTATGTATGGAAGTAACGCGTTACCGCCCATCTCTGCTAACAACTGGGGGACGGAAACGGAAACTTAAGAAGACTTAAGAAACTCAAGATATAAACAGACCTCAGATTATAAAAAGTAACCACAACTCAAGACTAAAAGCTCAAAAACTTACTTAAAATATAAAATTCAGAGAGCCATAAACTTTATAAAACGCAAAACTATGCTTTTTCCATATTTCCTTTTGCGCTTCTTCATCTTCAAGATGAGTTCCAGCGACACTCCCTTTCCCGAGCAGCTCAATTTTTCAAACAATCGACACTGGAGTTGAACATAACCGCATCAATTTTAAGATATGAGCTGTTGACTGTTTGGAGAACTGAATGCAAATGCCTCTCCGTAGCTTCTATGTAGGTTGATTTCTGCCAGCCCCTTTCTCTGTATGACCAAATATCTCATAAGTCAGAAGACCATTCAGTGAGTTCCCAGATTGACCTTAATATGACTGTATCACTTGTATCACCCAGTCACACTGACTAGCCTGCTCAGTTTTTTAGCATTCTAGCCAAATGCTACCTCATGAGACTTTTGGAAAAATGCACATACTAAATCACAGTCAGAGCTGATGGATTGGTGCATTCCTAATTATGACAGTAGCATTCCCCATACATCATGTTGATAAAGTTGCTTTAAGGCTACTTGGCTCAACTATAAAGGTATGCAGACTTGAGGTGGATGTAAAGTTTGATCGCAGTTTTGATACAGCCACATCAAACCTGTGCTTCCAGATTCCACTGGTGGAACTGAGAGAAGCAGTGCCAAATAGTGTCTAGATGATCTATCTGTGCTCACATGGCAGGTCCAACAGAGTTACAGTTCTTCTGAAAGACCTCTGCATGATTTACATTGCGCCACAAAGTGCTGACAAGCCTCTCTCTCTCCTGTTGGGCAGTCTGCAAACTGGGCTGTGTGGATGTGGATTTACATTTACACCATTAATCATGTATAGAGCAGGTTTCATATTAAGGCAAAATACCATAATCAGGTGTTTAAACGATACATTGATACTATAATGTGTTATAGGCAGATGTGGGTGCACGTCTGCCTATAACACTATGCAATAACACTATTTCATCTATTTCCTCACGTCATCTACCACATCTAGATATACCACAGAAGGAATCACAAATAAAATGTTTTAGCAGCTCCAGCTGTATCAAATGATCTAAGTCAGGCCAAAAATACATTGCATCTGTTTTGGTGCATCTGAAAGGTAGCATCAGGTTTAGATGTAAAATGATACTAAAAATGGGGGTGAGGTGGAGCCATATTGCACTTGATCAAATGCTTAAGTTAAATGAATACTCAAATTAAATAAATAAAAAAACATCACAATACAAAAATGATAACAAATACGCACAAACAGATGGATTTTATTTGTCCTTCAAAGAAGAAAAATGCCATTCATGTATACACATGATTAGTTTACAGTGGCCCTGAAGGTACAAATGCACTGCGTCTTAAGAAAACACCAGCAAATAGAAAAATGCTCAAAAAGCACACAAAAGACAAGGGCCGTTTGGGGAAACAACAGTGTGATGGACCAGCTGCAGAAGTGACAAACTAGCAGTTAATAGCAAACATGAATCTACAGTGTTATATGAATCATCTGATTAAAAAAAAAACACCATGCGTGTGTCTTTTTCACATCTTTTCTACAGTCATTTGTGGTTTAGTTTCTGTCACGTGTGCGGCTGTGCTGTCACATTACTGTCTTCCAAAAACACTCCATTGTGTTTTGTGATTTCCTGTTTCCATTGGGGTTTGTGTGCTTTTACAGTGTTTTTCTGTTTGCTGGCATTTTTCTTAATTACTTCTTGTGAGATTTCAGCCCTAACAGAAACTTTACACACTTGTATAATACCTTAAAGTGTTTCATTCTGTTCATATTTTTTATTCAGAGTCAGCATTATCGCCTGCTTGAAGTTTTGTATCACACCCCCTCCCATTGTCTCTGACCTCTTTTCGATTTTCCATTCCCCTGTTTTTGATGCGTCTCCCCTCTTCTCCTCCTTTCCTCTCACATACTGTGCTCTCTCCCCTCTCTGTAAATATATGCACTACTTCATCTGTCTTGTTTCTCTTGCACTCACGCATCAGCAAACACGTTGGTCAGAAAATCATTTTAAAGCCAACAATGGGAGGGGGGGGAAAAAGACACTTTCATTAAACAAGAACATCTTTAAGGTTTTCTACCCATATAGACGTTTCACTTCTGGTTGTTTTGTTGTTATTTCTAGCATGAAATTCAGCACAAGATCCTAGGACAAAAAGATTTTCTGTCACAAATCAAATGTTCAAAGTGTGTCTTTAACAATAAATTTAAAAAAATACCCTCAACAGCTTCTCTAATTATCTTCCTGTCAGAAATATCAGCCTCTCCAACAGCCAATAAGAGTAGGACCAATGACAATCTCACCAATTCAAATCGCCTTTCCACCTCAAACTGTAACAGCATTTATCACCCGAACTCCAACTACTACCCATATACTGGCTCTCCAAAAGGTAAAGCACCTTCTACTTAACAGCATGTTTTACTGCTATACACAAACTGAACCCAGAGAGCCAAGTGACAGTTTTTTCACTTTGATGTTCACTTTTTCAGTCTTCTCACTTGCTCCCTGTTACCTTTCATTTCCTCCATCTCTCTGTCTAGTCTCCAGGGTGAGGAGGTTTTCATCTGGAGGAGAGGAGGATGGACTGAATCATAATATAAACAGGGTAAAAATACATCTGTTGCTTCTTCCTGTTATATTTTAAGTGAGGGTTAATATTTAATGAGCCAGTTAATTAAATGCTTCTTTCCAGCCTCACTTGACATGATACAAAGTGATGCCCCTGTACTCCTCTCTTCTTCTGTCCTCACATCCTTTATCCTGCATTATTCCATCACCATCTGTCAACTCATGCACCCATCCCACTCAATCAACTCTTATTACTCCATCTATCTGTCCTTTTGTTCCACCTTGTTTTCCCATCTCTCTTTGTTCCTCCCCTCTGCTCTACTTTCCTTCACTCCATGCAGGGAATTGGCAGATTGATCCTGAAGGAGGAGATGAAGGCACGAGCAGGTTGTCACGACAATGACCAGTGGGGTAGCAGACACAGCTCCCGCTGTAGCAGCAAGGAGGCGCTGAGCAATCTGGGATACAGCTCCCTTAATGGCTGTAAGTGTGTGTGTGTGTGTGTGTGTGTACATGTGTTTATTTACATCTTGAATATGCCAGTAAGCTGATCAACTTTATTTACCATGCATTGTCACATGACAGTAGGTTAGGCTCGTAATCTTGTCTTTAGTATGATGAATTTGATGTGGGGTTTTTTGCAGATATATTAGTAAAAGTCTATATTGTAATTCATTATAGAAAAAACAAACTAAGTCTGATGATTTTAAGAGGTGGTGCCATGGCTATAAGTTGATTAGCTGGAGTAAAGCAGAAATATTCAAGTGGATGTATTCTGCTTTTTTCTTATTTTATGGTGTATATATATAAATACTGTTACACTGGTGAATGCTCACATTAAACGTGGCTAAAGTTTGAAATAATGAGGTCAACACAGGCTTCAGATGGCTCTAAATGCACAGTTTTTTATACTCGTATTTTCATATGACATCACTGAGAGCAAATATCCCTTATATGGTCATCTCAGGCACACAGGACTGTGAGCAGCGCAGCCTAAGTCATCCGTTGTTCAAACGGTTTGTTTTTGCGGTACAGCTAATGAGAAGAAAGCTTACTTAAAAAGACAGGAAAAGGAGCCACAACAGACTGTTTTTATGGCAATGCTACAAACACCACTTTTATCTGGTTAAGTAGCGAAAGTCTGTCTATTGGTTGTTCCCTCATTTGTTCCAAATATTGGAAAAATATCTCCCTGTCTACGGGATAAACCATCTCTCTAAAGTATCTCAGTATTTACTGGACTCCATTGTTTTATCTTCTGTTTCCCATATGATTTATATAGTAATACAATATTAAACGTTTGCATGTTAGCATTATCAGTGTGACCATGTTAGCATGCTGGTGTTCATAAAGAATTTTAGCTTCAAATAGTAGCTAGCCTGGCTACGTCCTTTCTGTCTCTCTTCTGGTGAAAGGTTAATGATGTTAAGTTTGCATGGCTTTTGGATATATTCCCAGTCCCTGAAGTATTTTATTTATTTATTTAATGTTTAAAAGGTTTGAGGCTTTAGTAGCTAAAACAACATTAGTTTTGGTTTGGGCTAATTCTGATTAGGATGCAGTGACTGAAGGTTAGATGTTAGGAAATAAATGTAGTTTCCTTTATAGCTGGAACAGTGTTGGGTGTTGTACTGTTTGCTGACCGAGCCTGAGCAGGTGGGGTTTTCCCGCTTCTGTGTTAACTCTTTAATTGATCCCATTCCTCATTGTGTTCAGCAGATAACGCGAGACAAAGATGGAGAGATTCGGAGAAAGGCAAAGAAAGCGTGCGTTGTGTTGTGCTGGGGGTCCAGCAGGAATAAAAGGAAGCCTGTTAAAGCGGAACAAAGAGTGAACACTATAGAAAGTGTATAGATATAAGGGTGAGAGAGAGAATCAGAAGCTAAAGCAATTTGGAGCTGTTGAGAGAAGATGTACGACATGAAGCCTTAGAAGTAAATCAGGGTCAGAGAGCGGTGGAAAAAGAGGGAAATGAGCTCTGTCCACAGGGAGGTCACGGAGAGAGAGAGAGGTATGAATAATGTGGGTGCTCAGTGCTGTGTAATCACTATGGGTTTATGGTGCTTGCTGTTATTACACTGATTAGAAAATCCTGACAGGTGCACTCATCTGTTCTTCAGAGGAAGCTAATTCCAAAAATGGGATGTTCACCATTTTTCAGAAATGGAATGTACTGCTACAAACTGACTGACATGCTTGGTGACTTCCTCTCACTGAATTGATTCGGACCATTTTTATCCACGCTAGTAGCGTGACCCTAAGGATGGCAGTATCTGTCCATCAGTTAGTTAGTCAATCACTTCGGTCTAATATATCTCAGCATGGTGGTATGGCCATGACAATTTCACATTTCATGTTCACCAGAGGATGACAGCTGGTAAACACATTTATATCATTCTCTCTTATATCTCTTATATCATTTGACCTGATGACCTTAAGTCATCAGGTCAAAGCTTAACAACTGAGCATTGCAGTTGTTTTGTTTTATTCTGATTCAGCCTTCAGAGTCATTGATTGTAGATTGTTAAGTGATTGCATAATCATTCAAATGTACTTAAGTGTGTACAGGATCAATAATTAATATTCAGCAGTGATGCAGCTGTCTTAAGTTTAGCACTAATACTAGAGAAGCAGCTGCATTTAAATTAGTAGAAAACTAGCCGTAAAAGCGCAAGGTGCTTTTGATTTATTTTTATTTTTTTTAATAATAAATCATTATTATCTTTGATTATTTGTTCAGTTAAAGACTTAAAGATGTTTTTACAAGATCCTCAGCTGTAGTTTTGCTTTGTAATTAGCAATTGCTAGCACGCGATCATGCGAAACTAAGAAAATCTCACTGTAATTATTTCACCATAGTGACAGAAACAGTCAGTAGCAAGCTTTGCTAGTAAGTCATTATAATAAAATGGAAAAAAGGGAAAGAACTTTTTCTTTTATTTGTTTGTTTGTTTATCTATGTTTGAGAAAAAATAACTGCAAAACTCTATTCGAAATAAGTGCAGTGGGTACGTGCCATAAGCATATAAATATCTAACGTGCTGCATGCCTATGCACATAGTGCTTCATATTTTAAATGATGTATAGGTCTTGGTAGTGATTAATCCTGCATGCAGATCTTCTTAGGGACATTTTCTCACACAGCTGATGTTTTATAGACATCTCCCAAAACAACTGGCTTTTTTAAATATGTATACCCTCGCCACTGAAAACTAATACTTTTACTATGTGGTAGATTTATTAACCCTACTTAACAGAGTGTGACATCTGTTCATGTTGTCCCAGCAACTGATATGCATGTTTATGCGCACACTAAACGAAAAGACCAACATGGTCCACAAAGGACAGCAGCATTGTTGCCGCTTTAGTCAGTTTAATGGATCAGGATGAAGAACATCTGCTGATTGCCAATGCTTTTTAAAGACGAGAATGAATATCCCAATATTAACTTCAGCTATGCCTTTGTTCTCACACACTGTGCGTATAATGCATTTTTCATGGGTTTTATTTTTTTAAATGTTCGAATTCATTGCATTATGATTAACATGGAGTCCTCTTCATTTGGTAGATATCCTAATTACTATAACAATTTCAGTATTTTAAGATATATACAACAGAATGCCTGGATTCTTACGTGTGTTAAGTAGGATGTTATGTGCAGAGGAGTAATAGTGCATATATTGGACAAAGGATTGAAAATGACGATGTGAGGCGGGAAGAAAAGAAAAGATTGTGCTAGGGAGATGGAGATAGATAATTTGATGCAGTGACCTCCTAAAGTTCTCTTTGTGTCCCATAACATACTATAACTTTCTCAATAGATTCCACAGATCACTGCACGATTTGTTCCTCAGTGTTTTAACTGAATCGGAGATGGATTCAAAATCCATCTTGCCATTTTTCTTTAGCAGTATTTTATTCTGCTCTTTACTAGCATCTCTTTTCTGGGAAACAAGTCCCTCCACTAAAGTGTTTATTGAGCTAAAGTTCTTATTCTAAATCATTTTTTAAAAAACTGCATTTTTGGGGCTTGAGACAAAAAATTTTCACACTATGAAACTGGTGAAATTACAATATTTTCATATGGCCCCTCTCCCCACTCCTTTGTTTGTCTGTCTTTCAGCTCCCAGGTCCCTCTGCAGCGCTGACAGTGGTGAGTGGTTCATCAATGTGTTTTGATCTGCTTGTTCATCCCAATGGGAGCCGCGGCACAGAGAGACGGCTTTTCCCCTCATCTTCTTCATCCTGTTAGTTCTGCTGTGACAGCAGCAGAGCTTTAAGTAGGAGATTTTTATCAGTTCACACTGACACGTGCACAGACACCTCTATCTTTTGAGTTACGGGTAGGAAGATGAATGACAACAAGGCCTGTCTTTTTTTTTTTTTTCCAGAAGCTGCATCATCCACAGTGATCTGTTCTATAAGCTGTTGTTACATGTGACAATATTTTTAAAGATTTTGGGGAATTCCGATGCTGTTCTTCTGCTTTTAATAGTTGTTTATGTTTTAAATTCAAATTCAAATTTTATTTGTTACGTACACAGTCATACACAGTACGATATGCAGTGAAATGCTTAGACAACTGCTCGTGACCTAAAGAGAAAAAAAAAAGGAAAAGGAAAAGGCTATGAATAAGATAGGAAATAACTATGAAAAATTAAAAAGGGTAAATTTAACTAGGAAGGAATAAAACATAAATTAAGGTTAAAAATGAAATAACTGTACAACACAAATTAGAATGAATTTTAAGGCATTAAAGTCCGAACTGGGCTTCCATATTTGTTTTTGAAAACTGTGCATTTGTGCCCAATAAAGTAATTTTGATGGTGCACTAAATACACCAAACGTTAGCTATAAAGATTCAAAGATTCAGTTATTATAGTGAAGGAACAACAAAACAAAAATTGTGATACATGAGATGCTTATGCTAGTAGTTTTCATGCTGGCAACAGAGCAGTACATATCTGAGATGAACACTGACTATATCTCATTTCTTGTTGAGAAAGAAAGTAGTAGATGACAAACTCATTATACTTCAGTATTTTACACACACTGTGCATTGCCAATACACAGCAGCCTGTATTCTGCTGCATCATGGTGTTTCGCCAGGGCTCTTTGACATTACAGGGTAATTTAATTCCTTTCAACACCAGAGTAAAAGAGAGAAGGAGGGAGGAAGGATGAACAGAGGAGTTAGAGGGAGGAGTGAAAAAAGGAGGGAAAATCTAGTGACAGGGGAAGAACAGGAACAGGAAACAGTGATAGTGAAGTAAAGGCAAGCCAAATGAATTGAGAGGAACAGTGGGATTACACTGCCCTCTGCTGCTTCCACTGCAGCAGTGCACACAACAAGTGCAAGGATGCCCAGAGATACTTGGTTGCCACCAGTGGTTATCACTGATTACAAGACAGGTGCTATGTTGGTATAAAGGAAGTAATGCAACTCTTTTCTGCAACTTAAAAGCCATCTCAGATCACAGCTTGGGTCTTTGAGACATTGTGTTGTAGCCTTGAGATTTCAAATATATGAAAAAAGGGCACTTCTGCTTTGAATTCTTATATGAAACGATAGAAAGTTGATCGGAGGCCTTTTTCCAAACTCCCAGCAACATGTCAGTAACTCGCTGTTTGAGCTATTGAGATGAGAGGTTTCAAGATCAGAGTTGGGTGAAAGATATTAGATAGAAAAATGAGCATAAGACAGAAAAACCATTAGATTGTCACTTTTCAGACATGAAAAAAAGTGGAAAGAAAACCTGATGAAACAGCAAAATATAGCTTCTGCTCATTGACAGAAGAAAAGCAAAATGTTTTTCCCCCATTTACCCACAGCTCAAAACCCATAGCTTTCTTAAAATCAGATACAGAAATGTATCTGTAGTTTATTTCTTGCTGTATTTGACAAAATCAAATTAAAAATTTTGAAGCTGTGAAGTAACCCCCCCCCCCCACCAAATAAATAATTAAATAAATAAACCAAAAGCACCACAGACAATAGAGGCAGTGTACTCTTGATTCTAATTTAAGTGTGTCGGTATCAGTTTTCATTCTTCATGTGCTTGTTTATGTGCTTTTGTTTGTTCTGCCAGACTCCTACATTGCCAAATCAGCCTCGTTGCCAGGCTACGGCAGAAATGCACTGAACAGGGTAAGGAATCAATGG